GCCAATCGGCGTATCGGTTCGACAATCTTCGGTCGAGAAATCGTCTCTGCGGCTCACGGGCTGAAAATGATCTGGACCCAGTGCTGGCTCGTCTTCAGGACGACGTCTCGAGCATCGAGGAGTTCCGAAGTCAATATCGAAAGGGTGAGTATTGGCACTGGACATTTCGCACTTGTACTCGATTACTGACATTGTCAAAAGGGGGCACAAGACGGAAATGTCACCAGCCATTGTCTTTTCTCACTGCTTTTATTGTACTTTTTTGGCCTTTTCTGATGGCCTTCAACCGGCGATGACTGAGAGATCCAGGTCTCTGGTGTGATGGAATCTCATTACCATGGCGGACAGGAAAGTTAAGGACCCCGCTAACTGTCCTAGATTCATTTGCGACAGTCTACTTCATCCCAAGGTGAATTCTTGAATACCATTTTGCATGCTCTGACATTCGAATAGAATATTCGATTCTGCTTGCGCTAGGGTCATTGTTGAATGCTTTTTTCCTACTTATTCCAGGTTACAGTTTCATCTTGACCCTCGATCATGCCCTCCCCTAGCTCCAAACAAGACACTTCTTCTTAGTCCATGTTAGCAAATCATTTGCTGACTTTCTGTCATGTACCTCGGACCAGCTCCCTCCCCGGAAGACAAATTAAAGAACACTCTTTCGCCAATCTATCCATTATGCAAGCTGCTAGACAAACCTATAAGCTCGGGGAAGAGAGACGCAGAATAGGGACTCAGGTAGACTTTAATTCTATCCCTGTTGGAATATCTTCGTTTCGTTCTTCTAAAACCAGTTTTTCTTTCCGCCTAAATAGGCCGGTTACCATGCCAACATTACACCTCATACTGACTTGCTAATCATGTATCGGTTTGGCTTTTGAAGTGTTTGTAGGGTGGAATAGTGAAAATTAAAGAAATTATGAATTGTAAAAGGCATTCATCTGCACTCATCTGCGTCAAAAACCGTTCTACATTTTACCATACATGCGTCTAAGATCAACAGAGTTTCGGCAGCAACCGATCGATTTTGCACATCAAACCTCGGGTTGAGGCGATAGTAAGCAATAATGTTGCTTTTTTGCACGAGTCTATTACTGCGCGTACAATCCTTTTTTATCATTGTTTAATGCCTTCTTTAATGGTTTTCTAAGACCTTCTGCCAAGTTAGATCGTATGGATGGCTTCTATTATGTCCTCAGCTTGCTTAGCTTAAGTCTAACATGCTGCAATAATAGAAAAGAAGGCCTTCTCTGAAGTTCACCTTTCATAAATCTGAAGCCGCATAAATCTGTCGCATCTTAGCAATGAAATTTTGATGCTGAGACGATTCAACCCCTATCCACTTGCAGTTTTCCGACATGTGATCTCAAATTAAACATTTTCGGGCGTAGTAAACACATACAACCAATTCTTTATTGCTTTACGTGCCAGCCGCGTATGTCGAGATCAAATCACCCTTAGGCATAGAGTGACACTAGCACGACATGGTTTACACTGCACTTTCCTTCTTATGCTCTCGTGTTTCTCCCTCCGACTGACCCGGTACCTCCCATTTCATTCACTCTTTCCTGTGGCTTTCGCCAATCCCAGTCCTCGGATCATTTGGACGATTTAGGTGCCCTCATGCACGTAGCCGCGAGCCATATGCTCCGCATAACTGGCCCACATCCGGCCGAGTTTGAGGCATTTTGGAGTACGAAACTAACTTTCCAGACGGGCTCAACTAGCCTCTTCCGGCTCATCATCGCATCGTGAAGACGTGAATTCATTGCCGAAAAGAAGCACTCCTTCCGATGGACTGACGCCGACTGGTATGCACAGGCTCGGTGT